CACTTTCACATAGAAACAATGTACTGTTATTGCGCAATTACGATGCAATCTGTAGTCAGTTGCAGAGATACAGAATAAAATATAATATAATATAACAAATTAAAATAGTATAAAATATAATATAACAAAATATTCCAACATACTGTAATTTTGACGTGTCTGGGTAACACTTGGTGTGATTATTTCCTAGTCCCCCTTGCAGTAATAATGGTACACAACTAATATGAATCGTTACTCACCAACGTCTTCTTTGATGTAATACAATACAATTCTAAATTGCTGGAATCGATCGGCGTGCGCCTGTGTACGTCTACACTTTACCTAGCCAAATGATTTTGAGAACACTGGGGATTTCCAATCACGTGACAAGTGAATGTAAATGGGGCAGTATAATCTCACAGGGAGAAAGTCGCACATCTCATGAAATGCGAGACGAGACGAGTCGACATTTTGGCCTCGACGCATAGAGCCGGAAACAGCCACTGTCGAAACCTTTTCAGGCGGCTTGCCAACTTTCACGCCGACTGACAGTGTAAAGAGAGGAGAGGATTTTCGAATTTGGTGACCAGTTTAGTATGCTAGAAAGCGTGTACAGTCTTCAAATAACCACAATAGACAGAATAGGGGTTAAGACCGAATATACATGATTCCAGCATTTCATCATAATAAATGCTTTTTATTAATAATTGCACTTTCAAATAATATTTATGAGATACGTCTATGTCATAACCTCGTTACAGTTTGTTGGCATACTGTGTACGCAGTGCTCATGCTTCGGGTCTTTTTTCATATTCTTCAACGAATGCGTCACCACGGTGAGGCCAATTGCAAGTTACGTTTATGCAAGTGACGTTCAGCACCGTCAATGAAGTTTTTCTATCAAACCCCATTGATGGTGCTGAACGTTGCGTCCGTATTCGAAACCCACTCATAAGCGACGCTCCCAGATATATACACAAGCTAAAACACCAACCCAGCGACTGCTAAGATTGCGAAGGATTTTACACACTCCTACCATGTCTTACTCTGTAATATGCAATTACAGTTCTGGTTCCCTGATAACTGTAGATAACACAACACTCCTACCATGTCATACTCTGTAATATGCAATTACAGTTCTGGTTCCCTAATAACTGTAGATAACACAACACTCCTACCATGTCATACTCTGTAATATGCAATTACAGTTCTGGTTCCCTAATAACTGTAGATAACACAACACTCCTACCATGTCATACTCTGTAATATGCAATTACAGTTCTGGTTCCCTAATAACTGTAGATAACACAACACTCCTACCATGTCATACTCTGTAATATGCAATTACAGTTCTGGTTCCCTAATAACTGTAGATAACACAACACTCCTACCATGTCATACTCTGTAATATGCAATTACAGTTCTGGTTCCCTAATAACTGTAGATAACACAACACTCCCACCATGTCTTACTCTGTAATATGCAATTACAATTCTTGATTCCCCATAACTCTGGGTCAGCCTCAGACTGGTAAATACATGTCATCATTTATAGGAGATGTTACGAGCTTTTTTAATTCAGTTAATTATTATTCTAATACCGCCACCATTAACTAGTGATTTGAACTCAGAGTAATCAAAATGTGAATGAATTGCTTCGTAAATATATGCAACGTTATTTTATTGTGGTCGGCGCGCAGCGGAGTGTTTGAATCCATGTAAACAATGTGTTTTACACGCGTTGTATACGTCGCTAAGAGTCCAATATATATTTAATTATTCACTGGTTTTTAATTTTGCTGATAAGTGAAATTCGCTAAATTAAATCTAAATGAACATTTAGAATAACAATAGAAATGATTATAACCAAGTGAAATTGCTAAAAATTGCTCATTTAAAATAACGGCGGAATAAAACTATTTTAATATAATATAATATAATATCTTGAATTCATAGAGAGAAGTTAAAATGATGATAGAGAACATTACAAAGTGTGATTGTTTTGGACATTATATAAGAAGAGATGAAGACTGTTGTTAGAAGCGATTTATGAAAGAGACTGGGATGGCCAAAAAACAGATGAAAGGATATCATAATTTATTTGGTAAAACTAAACTATGTTGAATTCATGCTTATGACCATGGAGGTAATATTATGCCACAAAACAATTATTTCGGTAAACGAATATTTTGTCATTTGTAGATCCCTGGACAGGTTTACGTAATCTGTTAATATTGTCCCTACTTTGCCATTTAAACAAACTGTCGATGATAAATGTCACACATGTTTGTAAGAGGTAGTTTATGTGACTTTGAAGACGATACCTGTTCCTCAGGTCATTTGGGTTTTTCATTGGATTTCAGCTTCTAATTTTGATTTACAATTTAACTTGCCGAAAACAGTTTAATAATTGTTTACATATTACTAGTATATACTGAATAATAACTATATTGACTTTTTGTATGATTATTGAGATGCAATTATAATATGTCATTTTGTTTACAAAGTCTGGTCACATGACGAATACCCACTAGACGGTACAACTTAGGGGAAGTCCCTTTATTTAAATGAGGTCATCACTTTCACTTATAGGCAGTGTACTGGCAATTACGCTGTAACGTTTCACCAGTGACAGGGATAATTATGTAGTTCTAGAATTATTTATTTTATTACGTCTAATGTGATTTTAACGTGTCTTATGCCCTAGTATTAATACCCTGCAGTAATAATGGTACAATACTAGTATGACGTTCTTTGATTATTTGCAATGGCGAATGTATGTATTTTTAATCGCGTGTGCGTCCTCTGGAAGAAAACACAATTATAATATATAATACTTTGGTTGACTGAGCGCATACAATTTGCTTCTATCGGTGTGTGTGCGTCACGGTGAAAAAAATGCGGTTTTTCCAATCACGTGACGAGACGGGCAGCTCAATACGGGTGAGAGCAGTATAAAAGCAAGACTATTGAGTTCATGGGGTCACGAATGGAAGTCTACTACTTCATAGTCGTCGTAGCTTTTTTAATGACGGCCGCCAGTATTGTTGTCAATCTGTGCCTTTCAGATCTCAGTGTATTGGCCGAAAAATTGCATAATTATTTTAGTTAGTTAAAATTAAGATAAAAACAAATCAGCAAACTCCAAAAAGATATTTTGATGTTAAATTTAATTATGAAATAAAATTACTCTTTTTTTAAAGATTTCCATGCTTCAGTTATGAAATTTGGTAATTCAGTTGACTTTTTTATGAATTTAAAGCGAGAGGTCGTCACCCGCGCACGTGCGGGAATCGAGTCCCAAGCGACGATAACACACGCTAAAAAAGCAAAGGCTCATGGGTAGGCGCTTGTTTGTAAACAATGACACGCTATGACCATCTGATACATGCGCAGGTGACGACTCCCCCGCTTTAAATATAAAAAATACAGAAAACGACATTACCAAAGTGACTGAGGAATTATCTCCAACACAATGTTGAAATACGGGGACGTTGCCATGGTAACGGAGTCGTATACTTGGCGTGTATTCTGTGCTATAAAGTTTATGTGTCGGCTGAAACTATCACCACATCTTCTGCTATAACTTGAAAATAAAAAAAAACACTAATGAAAGTATTTGGATTAAACCGATGGACGCCACAAAGCATTGCCATATGACTAATTACAAAACTAACACTTTCACTGTTTTGTTGTTGAAATCATTTTGCAAAGGCTTTGTTCAACCTCTTCGGAATATACAGCAACTCAATCACACAAATTACTAGTAACGCATTTGGTATTGAAAATATCTTTTATTGTAATCACGCCCTCTAGTTTTACTCGGTGTACCGATTTCTATGATTACGACAGTTCTATTTTTAGTAACATCTCCGTAATTCCCGACAGACGCTATAATAAGTAACTTACATTTTGTTGGATTTAATATATAATGATAATCACAGTATTATTTAGTTTACTTGTAATGTCATGGTGTTTTTTTAAATATCTGTAGATTATAAAACAACTCATTGGGTTAATTGTAAAAAATATTACATACTAATACAATATAGAAAAAACTAAATTATTACTCAACCGTACTAGCTTTCTCTTTTTATTCTGGACAAATGTGCCGTCTCTAGGGGAAAGAGTTTCATACGCGGATTAAAATAAAATCTACAAAACGGGGTCGATATTTTGCCCACGGACCCCTCCTATTCAAATTTCTTACAAAAACATGAATGGACGGACGCTGAACAATTGAAAAACTGAAACTAAATCTACAATCATTGGAATGCAATGAGATGTAAGCCAGTGTACTTGTACTACACATTTATTGATTTACCGTAATAATAGTAAATGAAAATACTAACTCCGGTGGTATTATTAATGACACAAATTACATAAACTCATCTAAATTTATGAAATGAAATTTTGAGTATTTTTAATAAAACAAATAATAAGAAAATAAACAGTTGGAGCTTCATGGTCATTGCTATAAAAAATAATGTCACTTAATGATTCAACGTTGTTCCTCTAGCGCACATTTGAGTATTCGTTCGAGGAAAAATTTTTAATACGCGTGCGCACCAGTTGTTTTGGTACGTACAATAATAATCACTGCACACGCGTATTAGTTGTTTTGATTTTCCATCCAACGAATACAAAAAACCAACAACAACAAGTAACAAGAAGAAGAACAACAACAAAAACAGTATTTCACTAATACCACCCGATTGCTGGACGAATTACAGACAATAGTCTACCAACAAATGAAAACACACTCGATGCCTTCTCTTTAACACTGTGCAATCCATTCCAGAACTTCAGTCGTAAACCAGATTCAATTTGCTTGTCGTACGGCACGTCATTACCATCTAGCCGTACTTCAAACTTATTTGTCTGTGACCCAGACTTAAGTGTGACCTCAATCAATTTACCTTGCATGGTAAGTCTGGCATCCTTCCATACCTATAACATACAAATACGGGTTTTAGCATGTTACACACAACAAAATACAGAACCCACAATATACATCCAATTTACAATTATATAATATAATAACAACCAAACTGAATTATATTTCCGGATACAACACAGTCCCCAGACTTTGGAGTGAAATATGTATTTTAAAATACGTTAACTTGTAGAATTGTAATTCCTAAAATAATAACAGTTTACTATTTTAATTCACTGATATTGTTGGTATTACTAGTAGTATTTACATATTTTTATTTTATATCCAATTTTGTCGCAAACTGCCATGTTCTGAGGTGGTGGCTGTTATTGAAATGCTTGGTAACCTACCCCTACCCTGTAATATGCTAATCATATAATAGTATATGTCACGTGATCGATTATGGTAAGGGAGCCACAGTTACAACGACGGTATCACCTTGTTACGTCATACACGTATAAGGTTTAATAGTACACGCCTAATGCGTTCATTTAACCCGCCCCTTCTTCTTACCGCAGCACCTGCCCGTTCTGTGATTTTCTCTATTAACGTAATGACATGTTGTAAACATCTCCTGTCTATGTCCAACAGTCCACCAGATCTTCGTTGTGCTCGTCTCAGAATGTCATGTATGTTACTAGTTTTTATGATAGAGCAGTATTCGTCATACTCCTGGAATTCGGGTTCTGAAATGTATCCAGAATAATAATAATCACTTAATTAATAACTTGAAATATGTTGTAATAATTGGCATTTGCTCTCCACTAACTTCCTATTTTTAAGATGTGTTTCTCTGACTAACATGATTGAGACGTTTCGTTTCCTGCTTCAGGAAATAGAACGTTTTTACACGGCAAAATTTTAATTTTCAATCTGATGTCTACGATTACTAGATCAGATATAATGGTATCTGATATGATTACTAGATCAGATATAATGGTATCTGATATGATTACTAGATCAGATATAATGGTATCTGATATGATTACTAGATTAGATATAATGTTATCTCATATGATTACTAGATAAGATATAATGATATCTGATATGATTCCTAGATAAGATATACTGGTATCTGATATGATTACTAAGTTAGATATAATGGTATCTGATATGGTTACTAGATTAGATATAATGGTATCTCATATAATTACTAAATTAGATATAATGGTATCTCATATGATTACTAGATTAGATATAATGTTATCTCATATGATTCCTAGATAAGATATAATGGTATCTGATATGATTACTAAGTTAGATATAATGGTATCTGATATGGTTACTAGATTAGATATAATGGTATCTCATATAATTACTAAATTAGATATAATGGTATCTCATATGATTACTACATTAGATATAATGTTATCTCATATGATTCCTAGATAAGATATAATGATATCTGATATGATTCCTAGATAAGATATAATGGTATCTGATATGATTACTAGATCAGATATAATGGTATCTGATATGATTACTAGATCAGATATAATGGTATCTGATATGATTACTAAGTTAGATATAATGGTATCTGATATGGTTACTAGATTAGATATAATGGTATCTCATATAATTACTAAATTAGATATAATGGTATCTCATATGATTACTACATTAGATATAATGTTATCTCATATGATTACTATATAAGATATAATGATATCTGATATGATTCCTAGATAAGATATAATGGTATCTGATATGATTACTAGATTAGATATAATGGTATCTGATATGATTACTAAATTAGATAAAATGGTATCTGATATGATTACTAAATTAGATAAAATGGTATCTGATATGGTTACTAGATAAGATATAATGATATCTGATATGATTACTAAATTAGATAAAGTGGTACCTGATATGATTACTAAATAGGATATAATGGTATCTGATATGATTACTAGATAAGATATAATGGTATCTGATATGATTACTACATTAGATATAATGGTATCTGATATGATTACTAGATTAGATATAATGGTATCTGATATGATTACTAAATTAGATAAAATGGTATCTGATATGATTACTAGATTAGATATAATGGTATCTGATATGATTACTAATTTAGATATAATGGTATCTGATATATATGATTACTAAGTTAGATATAATGGTATCTGATATGATTACTAAGTTAGATATAATGGTATCTTATATGATTACTAAGTTAGATATAATGGTATCTGATATGATTACTAAGTTAGATATAATGGTATCTGTTATGATTACTAAGTTAGATATAATGGTATCTGATATGATTACTAAGTTAGATATAATGGTATCTGATATGATTACTAGATAAGATATAATGATATCTGATATGATTCCCAGATAAGATATAATGGTATCTGATATGATTACTAAGTTAGATATAATGGTATCTGATATGATTACTAGATTA